CCACTTCTTTCATTTGTCTCCCAGTTCTTTTCATTTTTGGTCTCCCAAGCTGGGTGCTTGTGGTCGGGTTCCCGGCTGGCTTGTCTCGCACTTCCTTTCATTTGTCTCCTACTTCTTTTCACTTGTCTCCTTTCCTTTCATTTGTCTCCCAGGCTCGGTGCTTGTGGTCGGGTTCCCGGCCGGCTTGTCTCCCACTTCCTTTCCCACTTCTTTTCATTTGTCTCCCAGTTCTTTTCATTGTCTCTCAGGCTGGGTGCTTGTGGTCGCGGGTTTGCGGCTGGCTTGTCTCCCACTTCCTTTCATTTGTCTCCCACTTCCTTTCATTTGTCTCCCACTTCTTTTCATTTGTCTCCCACTTCTTATCATTTGTCTCCCAGGCTGGGTGCTTGTGGTCGGGTTTCCGGCTGGCTTGTCTCCCACTTCCTTTCATATGTCTCCCACTTCTTTTCATTTGTCTCCCTGGGTGCTTGTGGTCGGGTTTGCGGCTGGCTTGTCTCCCACGTGCTTTCATTTGTCTCCCACTTCTTTCATTTGCCTCCCAGTTCTTTTCATTTGTCTCCCACTTCTTTTCATTCCCCAAACAGTTTACTGATGGTCTGGTCGGGTTCCCAGCCGGCTTGTCTCCCACTTCCTTTGTCTCCCAGTTCTTTTCAGTCGGGGTCCCGCTGGCTTGTCTCCCACTTCCTTTCATTTGCCTCCCAATTCTTTTCATTTGTTTCCCAGGCCACTTCCTTTCATTTGTCTCCCACTTCTTTTCATTGTCTCCCAGGCTGGGTGCTTGTGGTCGGGTTCCGGGCCGGCTTGTCTCCCACTTCGTTTCATTTGTCTCCCACTTCTTTTCATTTGTCTCCCAGGCTGGGTGCTTGTGGTCGGGTTTCCGGCCAGCTTGTCTCCCACTTCCTTTCATTTGTCTCCCACTTCTTTTCTGCTTGTGGTCGGGTTCCCGGCCGGCTTGTCTCCCACTTCCTCTTATTTGTCTCCCACTTCTTTTCATTTGTCACCAACTTCTTTTCATTTGTCTCCCAGGCTGGGTGCTTGTGGTCGGGTTCCCGCCCTACACTTGCTTTCATTTCTCTCCCGGTTCTTTTCATTTATCTCCCAGAAATGCTTGTGGTCGGGTTCCCGGCCCGCTTGTCTCCCACTTGCTTTCATTTGTCTCCCGGTTCTTTTCATTTATCTCCCAGAAATGCTTCATTTGTCTCCCAGGTCCGTCACTGCTGGTGCCATGTAGCATTTCTATTCATTTGTCCTTGTCACTGCTAATTTCCGCCCTTTTCCGCTGGCCATGCAGCATTTCTATTCATTTGTCCCCCAGGCTTGTCACTGGTGGTGTCCGCCCTTTTCCGCTGTTTCTATTCATTTGTCTCCCAGGTCTGTCACTGTTGGTGTCCGCCCTTTTCCGTTGGCCATGTAGCATTTCTATTCATTTGTGTTCCAGGTCTGTCACTGCCAGTGTTTTGTCTCCCAGGTCTGTCACTGCTGGTGTCCGCCCTTTTCGTCGGCCATGCAGCATTTCTATTCATTAGTCTCCCAGGTCTGTCACTGTTGGTATCCGCCCTTTTCCGCTGGGCATGCAGCATTTCTATTAATTTGTTTCCCGGGTCTGTCACTGGTGCTGCCGCCCTTTTCCGCTGGCCATGTAGCATTTCTATTCATTTGTCTCCCATGTGATTTCTTTCTTTTTGTCTTTCAGGTTTGGTGCCTGCACTGCTGTTTTCTGCCCTGTCCGCTGGAACAGGTTCGCCTGTGAAAGGTTCTTGCTCCTTTGCAAGGGGTGCGTGACTGTCTCCGGGATTGCATTCCTGCCACACTGTGTAACTCTCTCAGCTTTGTTTTCCTTCTCGGGCAACCGTTGGATGAATGACCGGATTGGATTTCGGCGGCGTGGCAGCGATCTCTCTATTCAGTTGGGGCGGAGGGCATATGTCAGGCACCAAAAATCAATTTCATGTCACATCCTTCGCTCCTCATGCTTTTGTTTCTTGTCCTCACGTGGTCAGCTCCCCGCTGACTGAGCAGCATGACCAGCATCATGTTCGCGCTTAAAGAATAATTCCCCAAAAGGTTTACTGTTAGGGCTTCTCACTTCTTTCTTAAGATGTGTCCCCCCGCTCTGTATTGCTGTGTCCGTCTCTGCCTTGCAATCCTTTACATTTATCTCCCAGCTCTGGACGTCGCAAGCTCTAGTTTCGATTTTGAAAAACACAAACTGTTTGGGGTCTACGGTGGCGTAATGTTCCTGTTGTTTGCACGAGGGTTCTATGCGGCAGCAGTTATATAACAGCAAATTGAGGACACCGTTCATGTTCTACTTTACTGTTTTAATTAATGTGTTCTGTAGCACGATTCATTCCCACTTCGGGCCGATCCAAACAAAACCTCCGAAAACATGAGTTTTCTCAGCCATAGCACAGTTTCTGAAGAGGTTCAACCCTGTTTCTTGGCCTTTGAGGCAGCTTCACGCCAATCAGTCACGGCGTCGTAAAGCCATGCGTCCATTGTTTCCAGTTATATCAGTTCCACCTAAATGCTTGAACTTTGATCGACTTTCCTTCCCATTCACTGGCCTTGCAACAAGTGTGTTAACACAGCACGCTCACTTCAAGGCGAAGTAACAACAATTATCTTTGGATCATGCGCGCTCCGCAACCAGAAACTCCGCGACCAACTGCTTGCTAGTAGGGCCGCGGAAAAAAACGAACAACATCGCCCAACCGTCGCAAAAAAACAACAACCGACGCAAACACACACCCGTTAATGGTAGGAAAACACCGAATTGGTGGTGATGGTGGTGGTGGTGTTGGTCTGCACTTCAAGGTCCACAAAGTGCTGCACCTGCAAGCTGCAATGTCCACAATATTCTGCGCCTGCCACGAAATTTCCTCGTCAAGGTCCACAAAGTACTGTGCCTGCCACGACACCTGCACATCAAGATTTACATCGCGCAGCCCTGCCGAAGCGATTTGCAACAAACACTTTCCAAGGCACCATTAAGATGCTAAAACGTAGTTCTCGCTCGAGACCTCCTCCGATTTCCACATGTCCAAAAAGTATGAAACATGCAGATTCACAGTGCCTGTCACGAAATCAGCTCACGCCGAAGACCACCACCATGTCCAAAGTACTGCACCTGGTGCTTGCCAACTCGGCTGTGCAAGTTATGCAGAGCCTTCATGGCAATGGGCCCATTATTTTTTTTCGAATGCGTCGTTTGTCGTCGTCGTGTTGTGCGCTGAGTCCCGTAATTTGTCTCTGCGAGTGGATCTTAATCAGCGAAGTTTGAAGCTATCACTGACGGTCCATAAGCGGCATAGCGTCGGAACGGAAACCGCACCTTTTCTAGTCGCTTGATCCTTGAGCCAAAGTACATATGGTACATATATATGTACAAGTTGCACTGTACGTGTCGCTGCACTTCCATTCGCACCCCCCATGTGAACGGCAACAATATGTTCCGATCACACACGAAAATTTAGGGATGTAAGTGCTATAAAGAAATTGTATGATTTGCCGCGAGACTCATATGAGGCTCATACTACGAAACATGCTGGACTAAAGCGGACTTTTACATATAAAGTGTGCAACTATGGCTCAGAACCTTTGAAAAATCGAATTGAACAAGTGAGACAGTCACGAGGCCTCGCTCAGTATCCACTCAAAAGAGCATCGCTTTGATGTAGATCCGAACTGGTGACTTCCACGTAGATGTCACATTGGCAACTGACTTCACACTCCTCAAAAGATGTAGGTTTTGGTTTGAATACACTTACAGAACGGCAAGTTGGAGAGACAGTCGGTGATTGTCTTCCTTCCATTATGCTCATGGTATCAAATCGTCAATCCGAATTTGCAACGATACACTTATAGCGTTTCAGGTCAGATAAACATCCGGTGAATGATCTCCTCCCTGGTTTGCATGGTATCCTCATAGTCGTTCATAGAAATCACCACTGGTGATAACCTCTCCATCCACGATGATCCCAGCTGCCCTGAGCATCCCACCGATCATCTTCTCCCTTCTTGGACTTTCCCTTGGACTTGCTCTTTCCCTTCCCCTTTTCAGAAGGTTGAGGTACTTCGCGACGTTCTTGCGTTAGCGCCGGCCTCCAAGATGTTCCAGATTGGCCTCCTCCTTTGGAATGTCCTCGGGATGATGAAGAAGTTGTACCTTCTGTTGCATGTGCGTTGGCGGCAAGATCCTCCTGCAAAGCTTGCTCAAACACACCGGTAGCACTGGATGGTGATTTATCATGTGGTCTGGCTTTTGGAGCAGCCTTCGCCTTGTTCTCATCTGCTGATGAGGGCCCGAAACTCTTAGGTGCTGTTGAAGGTTTTGGCTCCTCACTTGGTGCTGACGACGGCTTGGCCTCGGTTCTGGGTGTAGATGCTGGCTTTGCCTCAGCTCTTGACGAAGATGCTGCTTTCGCTTCAGACTTAGTCGTTGATGTTGACTTAGCTGTTGCCTTGGCTGCCTGCTTCTTCTTGCCCTGAATCTCCTTGGCCCTATCTCCAAAGCCTAGACGATTGGTAAGAGCTTGAACATGCTTATGTTCTACCACGCTCATCCATCTCTCTGTATGTCCAACGTTGGGGTTTCTGGCCATTGACTCTATGACTTCCTGAGCTTGTGGGGGCAACCTGATTTCATGTTGATCAATGATCAACAGAATAGACTTCTCCCACTTGCTCTTCATTCTCGAGTACATGATGTCCAGAG